CGTAACGACGTAACGAGATATATAGTAGTAAGTAACTATATATAGATAACAATAAACAACACACCAACCAACTAAACTAACTACTACGTACGTACGTCACCCTCTCTCTCTCTCTCTCTCTCTCTCTCTCTCTCTCTCTCTCTCTCTCTCTCAAGCCATGCTCTTCTATCACATAGAAGCAATAGAGATCCTGATGGAGATGGTTGTGCTAACAACCCTTATGAATCCTTACAAATCCAGATCACAGGAAGGCTTCGGATACAACATGGACGAGGGTCGTTGTTTCTTTAGAGGAATATAGCGTAAATAGAAGCAATGGAAACTCCATCTCTAGACCCTGCAAGAGGAGTTCTCTACCCCTATGAACCTTCAAATTTGTGGAAAACGTCTAAAACCTATAGACTCAATAAGGAAAAAACTTTGGGAAGGACAACTATAATTAATCAACAACAATATACGGAGTGTTAACGCTACTCAAAAGCCCACCAATGAATAGAAAATATCAAGGGTAATCAACCAGGGCCTTGACATCGGGCATCAAAACTAAACACTAAAGGTATGACTTGCCTGAAATTGGCTAGACCAATTACAGAGCTAGGAAGCAACCAGCAAGCCACACATTGACACAAAAGAATTAGGCTGAATTTGAGTATATGATATATCCTCATTAAATAAGCAGAATGTAATAAACCAGTACAAGATACACCTTTGATGGGTCATCTCCATCCAAAATCTACATAAGCTAACTAAACTCTAAAGTCATTGCTAGCCCATAAATATGAGAAATTGACAACAATTAAGTAGAAAATAGAGCGAAATAAACTCATCCTGGCAGATATACATCTAAAGAGAAATAAACTATAGAACTGGTGGATGCCCAATTAGATAACAGCTTTAAAATTTAAAATCAATAATACACCGGAATATGATATTTCAAGTCTGATAAGTCTAAGAACTCACCATCCAGATCTTATGGCATGTTGAACAAGTCGAATGCTTAGGGGGGCATATCCAGAGAAGACATATGCTATGTCATTAGGGCTGCACCATGGGGAGGGAAAAAAGGAAGTTGAATAATCGTTAAATGTGATTGTTGGTAATTTAACTTCAACAGAAAAGGATAAGAGTAATTTAACTTCAACAGAAAAGGATACAACTCAGTACATATATCAATCCTTCATAGATATTCAACAAGGAGAGCATTTGTAGCATGCGATATTAGTGATAGTACAAAAAGAGTGCAAACTACAGGCTCAAACTAATGGAAACATTTGCAGCACAAGAAAAAAGAGATTTCAGTTCATATAAGATCAGACTCGTGGGCTCATACAATTTATACAGAAATACTCTAGGGATGAAAAGGACATCAATGCCATCTCAGCAAAAACATTTATAGTTATACTGAAGAATTAACTACATTACTCATCATATATGTAACACAGCACAAAAGACAGTTGCATCTGACAATTCCCCTCAAACTGAAATCATTATGGTTACAAGAAGTGGAAGCCCGACTGAGAGAGGAAAGAGCAACAGAATGGAGAGCAGGGGGAAGTATTTGATTTTTGGAAGAAGCAGGGCAAGAAGTACTTAGGGAATGAGGTTTGGGAGTAGGATAAAAATTCAGGAACTAAAGCATCGCCATAACTATAAAAACTCTTGCAGCTAAGAGCCAAATAAATAATGCTTGCAAGAAAATAAAGCCTATTTTATGACATTCCTTTGCTTTTTGAACCTTTATGATACTTCATAACATAAAAAATGAGGTCCAAAAGCAGTAGATTGTATTAAAATCTCTTAAGATACAGAATAAGATACACACAAACCTTGACTCTCCGCCTCCACATCAGCGAGTAAATTGGCAAGTGAACAAGATTCACATATAAATGAAGAACCCCAACCACATTATCATTTTATTTTTCTTCATAAATAACCTCAAACACATCTTTTTTGTTTCTACTTTTTTTTTTTTTTTTTTTTTTTTGTTGGGCGATAAGTAACCCTAACATCAACATCATTAACCAAATACATGGTTTCCTTTCCAAATGCCAAGGAGCATGGCATTCTTACTTCAAACACATAATAACATGACACAAATCATGCTCTATAAACACATAATAACATGACACAAATTATGCTCTATAATTTGAAAAGTTACACTAAAACTTATCGAACTAATCAAGACAGATTCAGCTTCTAGGAATGAAGAAATTACAAATCCTAGCCATCCACAGAGCAACTGAAATTCCTTCGAGGCTCATCCTGAAGAGGACCTCCGAAACCACTTGAATCGTGAGGAAATTGTCGCTTGAAAGTTATTTATTTTGCTATATGTACTCGCTTTGGACCCCTGATGTTCCTAAGTTGAACATTGAAGTATAAAGTTTCCTCAACCCTACTTACCCAAAAAAAAGGTTTCCTCAACCCAGACCTAGCCATAGCTTTCCAGATCAAGTAAGTCAAAAACTAAGTCCAATTGATATCCAATGTCTCATAACAATGACTTTCTTATATGTAATTGCACAACTTAAAATATAAATGAAGAAAATTATGCCTTCAAAACAAGATTAGTATGAAGAAATCTTTATTTCAACTACCAAAAAAGGAGAATTGCATCTAAAGTCAAGGATACCAAGCAAATCTTAATCAATTTCTAGACTATATAAGTGAATCTAAAGTGGCAACCTTGCATTTTTCCTTTTGAGAGACCGTTTCCATGCTATCCTGCATAAGGATATTTTGTAAAAGTTTCTAATTTCTAAAGAAAAAATTTGAAGCATCACGGTATATGATCACAGCCTAGTCAGTTGATGAAGGGTCTCTGTGCTATTTTATGTCTAGAAAATTATGGCAACATTTACTTATTGCAATTTAATGTGACAATGTCTTGGCTTCTTTCTCAACAGGAAGGCTTTCCCAGCCTTGTCAATTTAATGTGACAATGTCTGGTTTAAATTTGCTTATTGCAATTTAATGTGGACATCATATTCTTGACTAGTTAAGTAGAAGGTGGTCATGGAAATTTAAACCACAAATGGTATACATAATAGTTAGGCTTTCCCAGCCTTGTCAATCTCAAGATCTGTAATTGTGCTCCACTAGCCAAGATAAGGAAAGGTGAACACCAAATCCTGACAGATTTGTCAGGTGAATCAGCATATTTTCTTCCCACCTCGAATGAAATGCCACAGGTGGACGAGCAGGGCTGTTTAGTCTCAATGTCCCCAATGATCTTCGTTGAACCACCAAAAATACTGCTTTAATTACACTGTCTTTCATTGCATAATGTGGAGGACCTTACTTCCCACAACCCATTACCTCTTGCCAAACATATGATACTCAACTTCTTAGAAGAAGTCATGCCCGTAGGATAAAACATCCCAATTACATAAAGGAGAAAACAAGTCTACTTCCATTCCTTCTATCACTTGCATGGCCACCATAAGCTGGAAGGAAATGTTCCTCTTCTTGTGATCAGTGGAAGGCATTCTTCCATCATCCCACATTTATTATCTTCTCCCCTTTCTTCACCTGTCTCTTTCCTCAACACTTCCTTGCAATCTTCCTGCCGGACTTCCTAGTTCTTGTCAACAAAATCTTGCTGCAAGATATGTATGTAGTTTCACTTAGTCGTGGGTCATCGACGAGGGCTTTCTCTCACAACCATCTACATTTGTCAAACTGATCTACCAACCTTGTCACTTTGGAGGCCTAGTCAAACTATGGGATCAAGCCTCACCATTCCTTTGATCCCACTTCCCATCTACCAGTTTTTCCTTTAGAAGACGACCACCTTTGCATCCTTTCCCTGGTCCACCTTTCCTTTCAAGTTACAAAAAACCATTTAATCCTTCCTCCAATTGCCAACACTCCAATGTTTTTACTTGGGATAATTAACAGTATGGTTCCCTAATCCCACAACAACCAACCCCCCCCCCCCCCCCATCCCCCCTCCTCCAACAACATCCAAAAACAAAAGCCAAAAAAAAAACCACCCTCCCCTTAAAAAAAATAAACAAATGAAAATACAACTCACCAGCCCATCCCACACTTTCCTCTCTGCCAACTCTAGCAAGAGAGAAATTCCAGCAATAGAAGAGGGCCAAATGCAGATAGAAATGGCAAGATGAAGAAGGAGACCAGAAAGAAGACAAAAAACAATGAGAGTGGTGAGAAGAAAGCAAGAAATGGGAAAAAATGTTTAAAAACTCCAAGGCAACAATACAGTTCGCCTAGAACGTCAATTATTATGTCAGAGATCTCCAACAGAAAATCCACAACATTTGATCTATGATCCAACCATACATAAAGTAGGAATAGCCTTGCAAGAATTTCTGAATTATAACATTGATCTTCGTTGGAATTTATGCATCTTATTAACATCTATATAGAAATATAACTAGTAGGAAGCATCAAGTTGCAGAGGCAAGATTTAGCAATTACAGGTGATCAATAAAAACAGCAGGGAAGTTTTTACTTGGCAGTGTCAGTGTCATCAACAACTAGTTGCATTGCACGTTTGACAGTCAACCAGTTACTCTTGGATTCCTGCAAATGTGAAGACATAAAAGTACAATATCAAATAAGGAAATTGGACTGCAGAAAGAGACAATAGTGATTCCTTAAAGATAGAAAAAGCTTAATAGTTTATACATAGAGATCAACTGAACAGAAAATTACAGAGAACTTTACAGGCAAATCCCCCAACGTTTCTGTTATTCCAAAATTCCCCCAAAAATTTTCCATGATTACATTCCTACCCATTTTTTCTTTTTTTTCAAAATGACCAAATTGCCCCTGCTTCAGATTCAAAATGACCAAATTGCCCCTTCTTCGGACCTTGAAGTCCAAAGTTTAACTTTTCCGAAGTGTTTTTTAGGAACTACATAGAAAACTTGAACTTCAGAAACTTTTCCAAAGTGTTCTTGTCGAAACTAACACAAAAAACTTAAACTTTGGACCTTGAAGGCTCCAATTTTTTTTTTAACTTCATATTTGAAAGTCGGAATATTATACAAATGTTACACTTCGGACCTTGAAAGCCTGAAGTAAGGACAATTTGGCCATTTTGAAAAAACAGAAAAATGAATATGAACATTATAACGAGAAAACATGAAGAAACTTTTAAATTTTGAGGGATGTGCGTAAATTTCTCAAAATTAAACATTGCACATTCTAGAATCTAGATTCAATATACATAACCTGTTTCTTGAATAAACCAGCCTTCTCCAAATTACGTAGAGTTGTCATGTGCTCAAATCCATAGCTATGGAGAAGCTCTCTCCTGTTCATAGAGAAAGAGCAACAAAGATGATGTGAAAGGACAAAACTATAAATATATGATACCATGCAAAAGAAACAAAGCATGTACAGTCAAGAGGCCTTAGGTCAAGAATATGGTGCTATGCAAGTGAAAGAATTTCCCCTTTCTTGAAGGATTCTCAGTCCCTAGTATAACTATCATAATGATCATACAACAAGAATAACAAACTTAATCTATAAATATATACTCCTTGAAAACTGGAAGGAAATACAAAAGAAATGTTATGCCACGAGATATAACAGTCCATAGTTACCAGCATCTCCCAATATAGGTGGCCATCCAACTCCGGAAACTTGCTCCAGCGCTCCACGAAAGGGATTTTCAAAGGTTTTCGATTTCTAAATTTTTCGGATCTCAATCCCCACCATTAGGGATCTTGATTCCTACTATTAAGGATCTAGATTCCAACCTTAAAGACGAAGACAACAACCAATGATTTACTTTATTTATAGTCAGTTAGCAACACAACTATACTTTTGGTATAGTTGCATTGCTTGCTAACTATAAATAAAAAGAGCTCCCTAATTTAAAGAGTATGTAGTCGTAGACTATATGCAAGCAAGGACCTGAAAACGTTAGGATCAAGATCCCAAAAAGTTGAGAGCAAGATACCAAAAGGTTGGGATCTCAATCCCTAACATTTGGGGATCTAGATCCCTAACATGTGTGTTGTGCGACAACACTCCCAATCATAGGGATCATCTAGCATTTTACGATCCTCCGATCCCAATCCTAGTCCCGTTCCCAATTCCAACAACTACGTAATATTCAAAGTTGAACTCCAGGAGGAATTGGAGTATTTTCCAATGCATTCACACAAATAAGTGAAATACACTAGAGCACGAGATATTGAACGACTTGGTCTTTGTACAATACAACTTGAGGTTGAAGCAAAGGTAAACAGGCTCTTATACTATTATTCCATTATGCATTCAATAATTGAATGTTCTTGCTTATGTTTAAGATTTTAAATAAAATGAAATCTTATGAAATGGAGGACGATTCAAAGACCCATATGCTCGGACCCAATTGACTAGGAGAAGATTAATATTGCTAAAGAATGGGACGCCATGCAAGAGTTTGTTGAACTTGAAGAGCAAATGGATAATTGATTGCAGATGGAACCACCACAAGGACATGTATTTTAAGTTTAAGCACTCTATTTGGTTTCTTAACTAAAACTAATAATCTAGTCCACTTCTAGGCTCTGATGATATATAATTTATTAGTAATAGTAAGTTTGTATTTTCAAACTTTATCACTCAGTACTAATAAATAGCATTTCACTCTTTCCTCGAAGGTGGTGGGATAATGATGATTTAGAGACCACAAGAGAGAAATACAATGATGATGCGAGAGAAGGAGATGAAAATAATGACATTAAGTATGGACAAATTTGACTGGATGATCGCGGGATGGAAGGTAAATTTCTTTCTCCAACTGGTAGGCTTACCCTCATCAAAGCCACCTTAACCAATACCCCCTGTGTATCAAATGTCCCTCTTTCATATCCCTGCCTCGGTCGCAGCTAGGCTCGAAAAGATTATGCGTGACTTATTTTAGTCAAGAGAAGGAGGCCACAAGTACCATCTAATATCATGGCGAATTTTGTGCACACCCAAATCCCAGGGTGGTTTTGGTATCCGTAATTCGCCACAACTATTGTCATAGGGAGGACTCCTGAGCTCTGAAGTGTAGAACCCAACCACCATTTCTGGTATTTGAAGGTCTCTTCTCCACAGTCAGGACCTCTTCCTCCAACACACTCGGTTTCAGCCGAGAGAGGGGAATAGAGTTCGCTTTTGGAGTGACGTGTGGCTCAGTCACACACCTCTTAGGGAGCAGTTCCCAACTTATTTCGCCTAGCCCGGTATGCCAATCCTACAGTGGTCGACAATTTCAGCTCCACAAACTCAGCTAGGCCCTGGTCTCCTAACTTTAAGAGGAACGTTGCTGAGCACGGGTTAGGAGAATTCCTGGTCCTGACAGACTTTCTCCACAACGTGTACCTCCCCTGAGCAGGAGAAGACAAAATCATATGGATCCAAAGGCCTCAGGACAGTTCTCAGTCTCCTCGTTATATCAGGTCATCCCCCATCAACCTCCCCAACCATATCCCCCTTACTCTCGGCATCCAAGGCGTGGAGCTGTCATGTCCCCCAAAAGTTACAAGTCTTGTGTTGGATTGAGCTCTATTAAAACGTGCTCACCATTGATCAAATTCAAAAAACATGTGTTCCACTTCCCAACTGATGTGCCATGTATAGGTACGCAGAAGAAAAAATGAGCACCTCTTTATCCATTGTGAGATCGCCAAAGCTCTCTGGAGCAATCTTCTCCTCTTATTGAATTGGTCTTGGGTCACCCCTCAATCCATTCCTCAACTTTTCCAAGTCTCCCTCTTTCTCTCTTGGCTTAAGGCAGAAAAAATCCTTTGGAGGGTCTCTATGGCTACCTCGCTCTGGGTCACTTGGCTAGAGAGAAATAACAAAATTTTCCAGGGTGAGGAAATCTCGGTGCCCTCTTTAATCGAGAAAGCCAGATCATTAGTATACTTCAGGGCCAAAAAATCATAAATTGTTCCCAATATTAAGCCCCTGCAATTTGAACATTTTTGAAGAATATTACAGTTTTCTATCACAATCAAATTTCAATTAAATTCTTGCCAACAATGAAAGTTTGGGAAGCATTAAAAAACATAAGAAATTGTCATGTAATCAAATGCTATTAATGGAGCAAGGAGATAAGAAAAGGACAAGAAAACAATCATAAAAGCCAAATTACAACACGCCATAACCATAAAGGGAATGAGTAATTCAGGTTGAAATATGCTATGGAGTTTCTACTTATAATTCAAAAACCATGAATCATAAAATGTAGGGGAAATATAGAGGCAATGAGTTAGGGTTGATATCCGCATTCATAATCTGAAGTGCATTAAAACAAAAATGCATTCCATCATACCAGAAATTTCTGGTCTTTGCTTAGTTGCCTTTTGCCTCTCTCTCTCTTCTTTTCTTATCTTTTCTTCCTTATTTCTGAGTTGTTGTTGTTAACTTGTTATCTAGCAATAAAAGGTTGAAAGAAAAAATTTAGCACACGTTGTGCAACAATAATGATAAGTGACAAGTTCCACGCTGACATTTTTAGCAACTGGCACTTTCTTTTGAACGTGAGACGTCCAAGGATTTCTTGGGCCTCACTTTGGAGGCCTCCAGCTCCAGATTTAGGAGTCTCCAAACTCAACTTTGATAGCAGCTCGATTGGCAACCCAAGACCCTCCAGTATAGGAGGAATTTTCAGATCACATGATGCTCAATCCTACTTTCTTTGTCCCTCCCCATCGATATCCCAGATTCAACACAAGTTGAGGCCCTAGCCCTCTTGGAGGGCTTTTGAAAGATCAACCCAATTGGAGCCCCCACTTGATGGTCGAAGGAGACTCTCGGAACATATCACTTGGGCCTCCAACTCCGCCGACTGCCCTTGGAGATTACAACATATACTAGATGATATAACACACCTTCATAGGGGCCTTAGGGTCTAATGGCAGCACATGTTTAGGGAAGCTAATGCTGCTGCCGATTTTTTGGCTAAGGAGGGAGCCTTATCCAACTCCACTTCGGCACCCCCGTTAATTTCTTTAAGGCATCATCCTGAGTTGTACTTAATACGGCTCTTTGTTTTTACTCTATACGCTGTATAGCATTTTTGGGCCCTAAGGGGTTTTTGTATAGGAATACCGCCTGAGCAGTTGTTACATTTTTTGTACACTCCATTTTAACCAATACAAAGTGAACAGCTTCAAAAACAAAATGATGACATGAGACTTGGATTTATTTTTTAAAATATTTAAGTATTGTATATTGTAATCAGTTATGTTATGTAACAAACTAAAAATCGAACTGTTGGATACTTGGATTTGGACTTATGGAGTCATGAGTTTGGGTATGTATTGAAATAGAATCCAGATATAGATACAATATCATGAATGACCATATGGTCCTGAACTCAACAAGTGATAACAACAACTTCCAAATGGGTTTTAACTGTGGATACATCCTCAAAATGATAATTGAGGCCTGTGCTCCAAAAATCATAAATTTTGGAGATCATTGTAACCAGAGTTTGCCGCGAGCAATCGTATTATACATGGGTAGTATGGCAGAGAAAATTTGAAAATGTACCAAACTGACCTCAAACTGAGCTGAACTTTGCACTCTCTCTCAGAAAGGGATTCAAAGATTCCTTACCAAATATGATAAACTTTTGTAGTCCATTTAGATGGGTTTCCAAAGTCCACCGGAAGCCAAACCAAGGAGCCCAAGCGATGTCCGATTGATTTGTAAGAATGCTTGATGAGGGGATCATAGTCTGTGTATCAAGTTTCAATGAATTTGGAAAAAATTTCAAGGGTATTCAAAATTCTCAGCGAGATATATCCATGAGTAGTGTATTCGTAGGGAACTTTCGAAATGGTCAGATGTTTGGGAAAGGTCATATAAACTTGCAATTCAAATTTAATATAGGGATTAGGAAGCCATTTGCTTATGCTACAAAAGTTTGCTGCAAGCTACATTGCTGATGAGCTGCCCTCTGAGGTGAAGATTTGTTCATCTAAACACCCACCGCAATCACTCATATAAAGTTGAAATTTTAAGAGATGATAAGAGGAATGCTTGAAGAAGTTGTGGCCAAAATTTTGTTCAATTTGGAAATCATTAAAGGGATCAAATAAATTTGATATAAAGTGATAGAAATCTGTAGCAGTCTGCCAAAAATGGAGTTTGCAATAAGCATAAATAGAAGACCTTGGCGATCTTCAATCAAAGAGAGATTTTGTAGGTAAATAGGGCAATGCCTTGGGATTCTACAACTAAAATTTCATGTAATTTGGACACCAATAAGAAGTTCCAAACAAATCAAATTCAGTACACTGTCACTTTCGAGCTGCAAATCAGGATCGTGCCATTAAATTTTCTCTATAGATAAGGAAACAATTACGGAACCCACAGTTAAAATGTTATATAATTTGGACACCTATAAGGGGTTCAAATTCAATCCACTATCAGTTTTGAGTTGTACGCCGCAATCTGTGATATACAGGCTCACGACAAACATTTGTTGGCTATAGAAGACACTGTTTTCTTTTTCTTTTTCTTTTTTTTCTTTTTTTTTTTGACAAAGTTACATAGGAATGGCATTTGAGAGGCTATGAAAACCTAGCCTCTACCATCTTGACCCAAGCCCGTTTCCCATAGAAGACACTGTTATTGATCTCACATCACTGAAAATATGTGGATTGATGGAAAATTGTCTCAAGAACCTAGAATTAAAAGCTCATTGGTTGGACAAGTACAGTGGAACCCATCGAATTAAAATTCTTTACCTGCAAGTTTCTTGCAACAGAATGCAGAATAAGGGGTTCAATCAAATCAAACTCTACCCACTGCCGGTTTGGTCAGACAACGGTTTGCATCATGAATACCTTCCCAGCGATAAACTTTGTATCGGCAAAGTAAACTTCCAAATTTGATGTGTCTTGAGTCAAGTCTGATGAAGATTGATTCTAAAATGTCCCAAAGGTCTTAGTAAGCGAATTGAAAACTTGCTTTATGTATTGTGAACAAGAATAAACACTAAATTGATGAGAATTATGGCAACATAGAAGAACTTCCTTTTTTCATGCCCAAAAATCAAAGATTCTATTCATAATGTGGAAATATTTCACATGGAATGATTCTAGAAATCAAGTGATTGGATAAGCTTTCGCAAAAAGATATTTCCATTATTTTTAAAATGAACTCAAGATTTAGATAAAAATTGTCAAGTTCATATAAACATGAACAGTTTTTGGAAAGTGATTTAATCTACGAAGATCAGGGCATGGATTTTAATGAAATGGTTATCATTTGATTCGTTTTTCGATCCTAAATCAAGATCAGAGGTCAACCATATTTTAAACCTCATAGTTAATAACAATTGGGATTTAAAGGCCCTGATTTTCAGACCTAGCCGCCATTCGCAATGAACTTTCCAATCTTAAAGTTTTGATGCTGAATTCATGTTATTTTGCGCCCAACAAGGCATTAAATCTCTGGAAATCCTATAATGCCTCTAGATAGGAGCAGAAGATTGGAAGAAGGAAAGTCTCCAAATTGGAAGAACCTTCGTTGGCCAAGCAATCTTAGACCTCTATATAAAGGGATTCTTTAAGAACGATTTAAACAAGTTTGAAGGTAAGGTATTCACAGGGCTTCTCAACTATACAGAGATCTTGACAACTTCCAGAGAAAGAGAGAGAATTGATTTAATTTCAAAGCAAAGTTGTGAAGGAACTTTGAAGAAGAAGAACCAGCTTGACACCCTCCACAATTAAGGTATACAGAAATGTTATATTTTCCAGTATTATATTACTGTAATTTTCTTTGATTCTCTGTAACTCTCTATAACCACGGATCAAATGTCTTCCTTTCTATCTAAGATTGGATGTAAATGAAACAGCTGCTTAAGAGCGCTCAAAACTCTTCCCGTATTCAATTTTTAACATATAAAGAAAAATTCCTGATCTTTGTATGATCTAGGGAGACATTGATCCCTAATTTTGCACTTCTCTGATTGTTTTCTTGAAATGGAATTATATCTTTCAAATTTCTTGCGTGGTACACTTGCGTGGACTGGTTCTTTTTTTTATAATTTCACAGATCCTAACTTCATGATTCTTGACTTTATGACTTTCTGCCTTCAATTTCATTGTTATTACTCGATGAAATTTGCATCAATAATTTATGGTTTTTTCGTTGTTCCTAATAATTTTCTGAGTTTTTTTCTATTATTTAGAATTTGTAAGGTTTTTTCCTTTTTTTTTGTATTTTTATCTATTTTCAATTTTTTATTGCTTTTATTTTTTTACCGTTCTAAGAAGTGAACCAGTCTGGTTCGACGGGACTAGTGGCCCACTAGTTCAACCTCCAGTTCGGTCTTATTAATAATGATTAAGACTCATAAAATATTAATGTTGCTGATCAAAACATTTAAGGAAAAGGCACCCTTTTGTCCTTCTAAGCGCTTTAGGTTTCTGCAATTTTTAACCCTAGTAGCAAATTCTTAAAACTTGAACCAGATGTTAATTAGCAGATCTAGTTGTGATCTAGTTTTGTATTGTCGACAGCAGAAAATATGGTTAAGCTAAGCATGAAGAGATCTGAGCCCTATTCGTGCAAAGCGGAAACGTAGAACAACTCACGGATATAACATTTTCAAACACTAATATAGGAAGACATACAAGATATCTGAGACACCCGACAAACCCGATAAGAAGAGTAAAAATACTGATCCATACCTGAAATAATCGAAGTGTTTCTTTGGCAAACCAGCATTTGTAATGGAGAACATCACAAGTAGGCGTAGGACGTTGCCAATTGGTTCTTGCTTATGGATTATTTCCTCTATATACTCAAAGCATCTGGATTGGTTAAACATGTAATTATATTAAGATAAAATTATGACAAGATAATAGGATTCGCAGGCTAAGTCAGAGACTAGCCTGTCAGATAACTAGATATCTAGCAGACGTATCTTTATGCAGATCCACAAAAAGGAAAGCCAAGCAATTCAACCTCTTGGATTAGCGGTCAGTGTGTGAGGGCTAGAGCACTAACGGTCAAGGTTCGAAGCCCACCTCCCCGACCCAAAAATGAAAATCAGACAACTGTTTGAAAATTTTAGGAGTGCATATGAAATCCACCACAGTGTCCTTTTACAGCAGATGACCTTGAAGTGAAAAGTAGGCATGCCAATAATGTCTTAACAGTATGATAGCATCACTCACAAAAACCGCAATAGACAACAGTTTGTGAATGCTTTAAACATATATATTAAAGAATAGAAGGAAACACTGGGAATGCCCAAGGATTGGAGAAAATAGAAATGAAGCTCACATTTCATAACTTTGACCATCCACAATCGTGTGCTCTATGTCAAGTCGTCCTAAAAACGATGGCTTCGTTGTGTGTTTGGACAATTCTTGAGCAAGATTTATATGTTTCTGCAGTATAAATTATAAATAAATAAACGAGCAAACCAACAACAGAAATTCATCCCTAGGGAGCCTTGGGGAGAAAATGAAGCAATGGAAGTATCCATGAAGAACTTACTGTCATCTCTGGTAGTGAGTTAAGCTTCTTGACAAAATCCTTCAACTCAGACACCGTTTGACTCTGTACGTGCAATATCCAAATTGAGACAGCCAATAAAGGTGACAGATTGTAGGGCACAACAAAGACAACAATTCCAAATCAGTAACCAATAAAAGAAGAATTTCAAATTAAGACATCAAAAGCACATAATGGTCGATCAAATAATTAGGATGCCTAGGCATGAACCATTCTGATTACTGATGAATAGATGTGCTAAACTTGTGCCTGATGAAAGAAGCTTATTTGACCCACCATACCATGAATCGACTCCAAGCCATCACGTGAACTACTTGTAACACAAGGCCTCCCATATGCCAAAGTCAGGGAACTATAATACCATATAAGATGCAGTGCCTCCCATTTTATTATATTCCTTGATCAACTGAATGGGATCCATCCCATGTATACCTCTAAGTTCTGTTGATTACAATCTTCCGATATCGAGGACACAAACCTAACCTATGAGAAGCCTGTAGCATATCAATAGAACGCATATCAATACAAGCTTCATTTCTTGAAGGGTTCACTGTTGCAGCTGTTCTTCTCGATGAACATACAATGTAAGACACATCTTTCGTCCAAAATAATTCTGAATAAGGAGATTCCACAAGTCACCTACCTGCAGTTTCAAAAGATGGTGATCTTTTTTGTTGCCCAATACCATTTTGTGGTTGGGCAAGGGGACTTCTTCAATAAATAATGGACCACTTGGAGAAAAACTGATGCCCATAAGACATTTACTCACCCCCAACATAGCAATATTCTTTTCTCCCCAAGACCAATTTTTTGTAATTGTTTGGAAAGAGATTTGTAGGTTATTTTTGGATGAATGGTACCTTAACTTCCTATGGCATCACTTCACGCGTATTCAACACGTCTAAGGAATTAAATCCATGGACTTCTCATCTAAATGAAAGGAAAAAACTCATATAGCCTTATATATTCCAAATACCCAAGAGTTTAGTTCATATAGAATTTGGAGGAGTAGGGCCATTGGCACAGTGCAATTTCCAAGCATAGTATGATTAGAGATAATCCAAATTCTATTATACTAAACAAACTACTCTTATATGAGTTTTCACCAAACCAACTACAATAGATTAGGAATTTAGTGCTTCAAGCGTGCACTTTCTATTAATTTAAAAATCCATCTGACTAGGTCAGAACATGTTGTCAAGCCAATTTCCATTTTTGCCATCATCATCATCACCATCACCATCAAAGCCTTTTTTCAACTATTTGGGATTTGCTACATGAATCCTAATCCGCCATTCTACTCTATCAAGAACCATACTCTCAATGAGGCTGTAAGTCCCCATATCTTTTCTCACTACTTCCAACCATATCTTTCTGAGCCTACCCCCCTTTCCTCTTTTTAGCCTTTCACTTGAACCAACTCGCACCTCCTAAAGGTGTTGTACCGGGTCTGCGCTGCACATGGCCAGCCCATCTAAGTCTACTTTCTCTCATCTTATCGCCTATTGAAGCCACATCTAAGTTCTCCCGAATGTGTATTCATTTTGAATTCTATCCAATCTTGTCTTGCCAATCATCCATCTCAACATCATCATCTCAGCTACACTCATCCTATGGGTATGTTGTGTCAAATTATTTTATGTGCATGAGTGAAATTGGAAATTTCCATGCCAACAGGTTCAAGCAGTCAAATGGACTGTTGAAATAATATAAAAAAAACAAGGATGACGTATTAAGTTAGTAATCTTAAATGGGTGTATCGATATCCACACAAAAAAAAAGTTGAACTTATAAATTTAGAGGAATGCCCAAAGGGTTGCACTTCATTGCAAGTTGACAAGAAGGTAAACAATTGGCTTTCCAACACATAAGAGGTTATTGTTTGTTTTGTTTTTTTTTTATACTTTTAACTGCATAAGAGGTTATTGTTTGTTTTAAAGTCCAAAAGGCACAATCCTACAAACACAGTCGCAAAATACTACACATAAAAATATAAACTGGATGAATGAAGTGCAAGAACAGTTTTCAATTGTATCTTTACACAACTTACTTGAGTTGTCACTTCTGTATAATCCTGCTTCATTGAAGTTGCCTTTTGACGAAGCACCTAAAGAAAAGTACACAGTAAATAAAACTCAGAAATCCAGGAGACCTGACCATCCCAATGCACCTTTTATTGCAAAATACTGGTGCCAATTAAGAAAGATCAGACAGAATAAAGTGACATTCAAAAGAATATCCACCTGAACTACCACTTCAAAGTTAAGATCTCGTATCTCCTTGTAAAGCTTATCACTGAAACGGAAACTATAAGTCAGAGAGTGAAAGTAGTGAAAATACATGTTTATCAACTGCATCAGTGACAAGTAAAAAATAACAGCCAAAATAGCTGGAAGGGACTAAGAAAAGCATTTCCTAAACTGGTAAGGAAACACAAATACCCTAATCCATGACCTAAGCTTCCTCATATTTACCATATCCCAACAAGTCATCACAAAAAGATTATGCTTTTCTATAGAACAAAGGATTACTGAAGTGAAAGTTTGGGGAAAGAAAAATCCAATTTAGAATAAATAATGGGACTAGCCTCATGGCAGTGAAAAGTCAAATGAATGATCAAAACCCATTTCTTGTTGAGCCACAAAGGACCAATGTGATCCAATATACCTCCATCAGGACATTATAATATCCAATGGACAAGAACAACAACCCAATATTTCTGCAAATAATCAGCAACTAATTTGCAAAACATCTTTCAATCATGTAGGTTTAACATAATAGCTAGATAATCCCCTACCCAAAAGGATGATTATGCATATTTCCTTCAATGAATACAATGAAATAAGGCCCCCTTAGGATAGATCAAATTTTGGGAACAAAGCCCTTTTTCCACCATCCATTTAGGAGTGAAATACCCTCAACACCCCCCCAACCGGGTCCTCACCACCTACCTATCTAGCTGAGCTCTTTAGGTTAAAAAAAACCATCTATTTGTTTCTTTTGTAATGTTCCGTTTCTCTGCAGAACCCAACTGTAACAACTAGGTCTCCGCCCAATCAAAGTTTGGAGGATCTGGGTTCCAGTTTCAAATGCCCTCTATCCCTCTGGTTAACCTTTTATTTGCAGGTTTCTCAGCTGATTTCTTCCTGAAAAGAGATCTTTAAGTTAAAGAACCATTTATTTGGATTAGTTTTGTAATTGGGTTTTGGTTGTTTTTTATTTTGTAACCGTGGTTTTTATGCATTTGAGTTCATTTCATTTGTGATGTACCGTTTCTCTGCAGAGCCCAACTGTACTAATTAGGTCTCTGCTCAATCAGAATTTGGAGGAACTCGGTTCCAGTTCGAATGCTCTCCCTCTCTCTTGTTAGCCTTGTGTTGGAGGTTTCTTGGCTGTTTTCTTCTTGAAAGTGAGCTCTTTAAGTAAAAGAACCATCTATTTGGAGTGGTCTTGTTGTTGGGTTTTGGTTGTGTAACAGTGTTTTTTATGAATTTGAATTTGTTTCTTGTGATGTTCTGTTTCTCTGAACAACCCAACTGTACCAACTAAGTCTCCACTCAATCAAAGTTTGGAGAATCTGGATTCCAGTTTCAAATGCCTTGGGTTTCAAAATCCCAGCCATAAGGGCTCCACTTCAAATCTAACATTTGCAAGTTTGTTGCTTACCCCATTTCTTCAGGGTGAAAATTCTATAGTTTAATTTCTCTTATAGAACCTTTCCCATGAATAAACTAATGAATTTTATTCTTATGGAACCTTTCCCATGAATAAACTAAAGAACTTTATTTATTTTTTGCTTCTTTTTGTTGTTTAGGTAATTTAGTTAGTAATATTATGCAAATTTAGAGTGTTTGCAGTCACAGATGCTGGGCAATAACTTGAGACAGTTCTGATTGTTGTTAGTTGTTACAGATATGTTCATTTGCGTTGAAATTTTGTATACATGGAATTTATCTTATTATAACAAACAATTGGTTAGTATTCTTTGGGCTTGGATTTGTATGTTAGAAAATTTGTATTTAGGCAATATGCTTCATGGATTAATTTCATAGGAGATAGATGTGGTAAATGCTTTGATAAACAATCTGATTATAAAATGTTTGCTAAAATGGCTATGAAAAACTAGCTTCTTGGAACCGACCATGATTGTTGGATACTCGAGCTCTAGTACCATGACCAAGTCTTGAAAATTGTTCAATGAAATGCATGAGGGAGACTTAGCTTTGTATAAATTCTAATTTTGTCAGGCAAACAGTCAAAATGTCATCAACATCATCATTATCATCAAAGCCTTTTCCCAACTAATTGGGGCTGGCTACATGAATCCTGATCCGTCATTCCCCTCTATTAAGGGTCATACCCTCAGTGAGGCCATAAGTCCCCATATCTTCTCACTACTTCCAACCATGTCCTTTGGGCCTATCCCTTGTCCTTTTTGAGCCTTCCACTTAAACTAACTCGCACCTCCTAACAAGTGTTGTACTGGGTCTGCGCCACACATGGCCAGCCCACCTAAGTCTACTTTCTCTATCTTATTACTTATTGGTGACACACCTAAATTCTCCCGAATGTATTCATTTTGAATTCTATCTTTTCTTGTCTTGACACTCATCCATCTCAACATCCTCGTCTTAGCTACACTCATTCTATACGTATATTGTTTTTTTACTGCCTAACATTCCACCTCATAAAGTAAAGCTAGTCTCATAGTTGTCCTATAGAACTTGCCCTTCAGCTTCATTGGTATACGGCGATCACATAAACTCCGGTTGCACATCTCCATTTTGTCCACCCAGCTCTAAGTCTATGTGCGACATCTTCCTCAATCTCTCCATTTTCCTAGATTATCGACCCAAGATATCGAAAGTGCGGTCTTTTTAGTATTTCTTGGCCGTCAATCTCAGCTACTTACTCATCTCTACTCCTATTATTAAACCAAACAGTCAAAATATTACATCTATAAAAAATTCTTGAATTCAACTATACAGTCAAATAGAGAGAAGAAGAAGCACATTGAGATAATACGTTATTGAGAAACATGGAAAGCCAACAAACTCTTTCTTGAGATTTTCAAATTTCTTAACATTCAAAAGACTTTGTTATCAAACAAACACCAAATAAACAGCTTCTTGTTGGAGTTGCTCTGCCATCAAAACTGGGCCCAAGACAGTTATTTGCAATGTTTAAAACACGGTTTGTTGATCCAAATCGCACCTTCGGATTTCTAAGCCAGTTTAGCGGATCGGCAATCCGAATTCTAAAACTAGTAATTAAAAAATTAAAAAAAAAATGAAAAAATTGGGGCCGGCTCTCTGACTAATAGAACCGGTCAGTTCTCTGACAGAATTGACTGATTCCTGATACTTTACAGGATCGAAATCAGTTTGACCGATTCCTTATCCAGATAAGCCGGTTCTGATCTGGATCACCATTTTTTTAAACACTAGTATTTGTTCAAAAACCATCAAAATCCAAAACTACTCATTTTTCCAAATATGAGTGACCCAAAGAAAATCCTCAAATATGATTGATAGTCACTAACTATTAATGCCCCACTTCCACTTAACTATAGGCCACCCCATTTTTTATGAAAAACCATAGGCCACCCCACCACCAGCAAACCTTATGCACATCCATTCCCCTCAAGCAACTTGCAGCCATCAATAATCCATGGTACACAATAATAACCAGATAAGTCTAAAACTGAGTACTAAGAGAGAGAGACCATCCATTGAACAAGACACCATCTGGAGTATCCATAGCCCACAATGGCCATTAAATCACATTCACAAACCAGCACACTCAAAGTTAAAGCAATATCAGCAACATATCCAGAATGTAGCAGCAGCAGAATGCAGACATTCTTAGAAAGAAAGTCAATCAAATGAACGAAAGAAAAACAAGATCTGCTTTGAATTCTTCTCACTAGCCCATGAGGACCACCTTTGGCATTCTAAGAACAACTTTCTAGTGGAAAGCTTCATCTGATTTCTTCTAATTATTCTTCTCCCTCTTTACAACCTACCCATCTACTCTTCTCTCTCTTCAGACACAACTTCTCAATACATGGACCAACTTGAATAAAAGGTAGGAGAATCCACTTAATTGATATCCAAAGCACCAAAATGCCATAACACAGAAAGCTTGCACATTATCCTCTACCCGATATTTAATAGAACCTCAAGTGCAAAGATATCAGTGATTCAAAAAGCAAACCGCCCAGTGCCTAGGCGGTATGGCACCCGCCTAAGCAGGAGGCCGCCCAAGGCTTGCGCCTCGCCTAGGGGCGGAAATGGGTTTTTTTCTCAGGGTTCTTTTAGGGTTTTTAAAAAAAAAAAAAAATGCTTTTAAAGGTGGGTTTTAGGTCCATTTGAAACCTAAACCCACAAGAACCCATTTTAGAGAGAGAAAAACCTCAAAAAAACTAGATTTTATGATTTTAATGCGATTGAAGTGTTTCTCAAAGTTACAGAAAATGGATCCAAACATCACCCATCAAGATTAAATTTAGTTTTGGAGTTTTTTTAGTCCTATTAGAGGGTGTTTTTGAATATTAGCATGAGAAAACATCTCAAAGGTGGAAGTTTGGAGTTCAAGCAATCAAAGTAAATGCAAAAAATTATTTTTTAGATTGGTTGTTTTATTTTGAGATGTCTTCTTCAATATCTAGTCGAAGTGGAGATAAGGGTTGGAAATATGGATATAAACCGAATCCGAATGACAAAAATTGAATAAGATGCAATTATTGTGAAAAAGATACAAAAGGGGGCATAAACCGATTTAAAAAACATCTTGCCAGTATTAAAGGGAATGTTGCCTCTTGTAAAAACGTTCCTGAAGCTATCAGAGAGGAGATTAACCAATATATGAGTTCAGTAAAACACAAACAGGAAGATGACTCTGATGATGATAGTCTCCCTGGTAGCCTCATGAACATTTTTTAGCCTGGTAGCCTCATGAACATTTTGATGCTACCAAGACTCCGAGGGCCGCATCTGCACAGAGTAAGACGTAAATTCAGATGAAACAGAGGACGTCGAGCGTTATGTTGAAGAGGAAGATGACTCTGATGATGATGGCTTCGAATCTGATGTATATGAAGAGGCTTATGCTACTCCTTCTGATGATGATGATGATGATGACTAAAGAATGCAAAGTTGAAGACGCTCGACTCTTGGTGTTGATTGTTGAGTGTTGACTATTGATTCATGTCCTAAACCGTATACTTTCTAAATTTCTATATATTTTCTTTTTCTTAGTTTTAGTTTCTAGTTTCTACTATCTAACTTTTGTGTGTATCAGTGTATGCTTGTACGGTTTTAGCATTGTATGAAACTATGGACTATGGACTATCAAAATTCTCCTCATTCAGGGAAATATCAAATATGGATTATGGATAGAATATCAAAATTCTAATATTTATGGTCAGAATATCAAAAGTCTCCTCATTTATGGTTAGAATATCAAAATTCTAACATTTTTCTTTCTACTGCACCGCCCAGGTTTTGGGTGCCCGCCAAGGAGCTGGGCGGCCTGGGCCCCCACGGCCACCTAGGTGCCGCCTAACGCTTTTTGAAACATTGAAAGATATCCATGACAAAGAAATGCTCTACTCCAGCACTACAGCAAGGGCTCCATCAATATGCAAAGGATATCAAAACCAATTACTCTCAGCTTTCAGCATATCACTTTCTTATCCATCCTAACACCAACAGCCTCATCTTCACTGTACACACCTTTTACCAACTCTTCCTCTCAGATTTGGAGCTTCGATGGCCTAAGCTCCACAACTTTGGCCATCCTAGCAAGCACATGCACACATGCACGATGCACACTCCATTATTTGAACTATCATCCCTTCATCAATATTTCTTCAGCCATCATAACCACTCACACAAAGAGAACAACACGGAAATATAATTATTCAAAGATAGAGAGTAAGATATCATTATCAAGAGGCTATTAAGTCACAGGTTGGGAACTTCCTACAAAGAAGAGGCACTCCATAGAATGGGCGAAGGGGGGAAAGAGATCAATTAGTACATTAAGAGATTCACAGGATCCTAAAGATATATCTTGAAAGATACTTTTCTCTGTTTACAAGACTAATACCAATCTCGTACTGAATTTTCCTTCATTGTATTTATTCTTGATTTTGTGATTAACAATATTTTTTTTTTTTGAGAGAAAGTTAACATTATATTAAAGACAAGAAGGATTACATAAGAGTTCAACGTCACCCGTAGATGATTTTGTGATTAACAATATTTCTTCAATTTTCAAGTGCAACAATTCATGAGTTCCTGTATTTGTCATCTAATGTCCATAGTACCAATTCAGCACATGCGACAGACATGCACACGCACGCAAACACGCACACAGAGATTGCTAAACACATGTCCTCGAGCCATAACTTAAAGTAGAAAGGATGAATAAGGAAAACTTAAAAAAACAAAAAAAAAAGATTGTCATGAAGAGCTATCCAACGAGAATCAAAACAACATCATTAGAAACATTCTATAAAAAGCTTTTTCAGAAAATTTTCCAGAAGATGGAGGAGAGAGGGATGGGGAGAAAGAAATATAGGAAAGAAAGTAAAGGTAGAAATCTGATGCAAGCATATCACTTTTAGAAAAGAACAATAAATATCACTTAAATCAGATGCCAATCCCAATATAATTTACATATTCCAATATGTGACCTTGAATTAAGTGGGACCTTCATCTTCTTTCCACTCTGCTGAGACCCCATGATTGATGCATCTAGCTCAACTGAACCATTATTGATGTGGAAAAACTGCACTGGAAGTATTACAACAGATCAATAATAAAATCAAACAGATAAAAGAACCAAATGTTACAAAAACATTATATACATATCTTAAGCCATATATATCAAAATATTCAATAGAAAACATCATGGAGAGTGTTGAACTAGAATATGTCATACTTTTGATATCTAGAGAATGATAGCTGTCATGTCCACTGAAAAATTGATAAACATTCATTCTCAAAAAAAAAGGTTGACAAACATACAATTTCTAGGTAATATGCATATAAAAACATGTTTACTTCTTTAAAAGAAAAAACTTTCAGATATACGAAAAGATTAGTCCATAGAGGCAGACTGAAACATTTGGCCCAGTCAATCCAAATAGCACACAACAATCCCAAATTAGTTCAAATGACCAGCACCACTGCTCCAAAATCATATCATTCAGTCCATATACTTTAAACTAATGCTGTCCATCTATTCATAACACTGTCGATGATTAGTTTCAGATCCATTTAGAATAGGCATGGAACCATTGCACTGTAATCTCCATAAGCATACCTCGTCCAGAAGTCCCTCATATGTCAATTGAGAACACATAGGAGTTATCATATCCACCTACAATACGAAAATGAAATCAATAACTCATTCCTAAAGTTTCCAAGCAATATCATTTCATATTCTTCATCCCACAAAATAAATAAATAAATAAATAATTTAAACCATAAGAGAAAAAATTTAAGCTCATAATAGGGAATAGTGCGCTGGGATGACACAATGCTAATTGTCTGATACAAATGGTCAGGCAATCAATGTAAACTATACTAACAAGAATAACCTACACATAAAAGTAGTTAAGCCACATGAATTTTCAAAAGGCAGGGTCAATTTTCTATCTTCTATCACATCAAACTAAGGGAATCACAGGTACTCACACTTACTTCAGATATTTTGAGATAAATTTGATGACTTGGGGTATGTGTCGTTACCAGTATTATAATGTGGGTTTTAATGTTCTCTATAAGCTGTACAGGCATTTCTGTCCAAAACAGATGTAAATAACCAAGTTGTATACATAATAACATAGTCCACTTTTTAGGGCAAAATACAAATACGAATTAGCTCACATAGTCTACTTTTTGTTTCTCGTTCTACTGGGTAGTTATATATCTGCAATTCTTAGTCCGCCTGTTATGGTCTCTATTAGTTTTCTCCTTGCGACTTCTACCTACAGAGAATGTCCACAACATGATTGTTGGTGATAATCGATGGATAACTACCAACCTCCCATCGCAAGGCACTTGGCAGAAGATGCTAAGCAAGAACAGTTCAAAGCAATCCCTCAAAATTAAAAGTGTATCCAAAACCTAACCTTCCATTGTAAGTTCTAATAGCATACACAGAGTACAGGCCCCAATTTTCATGACCACCACCACTGCCTAACCTACAACAAATCCCTCTAGTAGCATCTCAACAAATTCTCATAAACACCTTCAGCAACATGAATATAATGGCTAGTTGAAAGAATTTTGTAAACAAGAACCACTCCAAACATTAGTGCTCCTTTGGTGGTTAATATGATATTTTTAACGATAATCTATCTCTACATTCTGTCCCATTTAAATTCACCAAGATATTCCCTATGCATGTGTAGTAAGAAATAATAATCCAAAGATTACTATTGAAATTATGCCATTAGTAAATATAAAAATTTCACTGAGATTTTAATTGTCTACATACTTGCATCATAGTAGCCAACAGGCACGACGTTAGTTATTCTAGGAGCTTATCATCCATTAAACCAAACGAACACCATTTTCAGATATTGAACATTGAGTTAAGAAAAGAAAAAAATTAGTTTCTCACATCAAGAAAGAAAGTTTTGCAAGCCATAGAGCTTCTTTTTTTTTTTCCTTTTTTTTTTAAGGTTGCCAAAGAACTTATATAATGACCCTAAACTTCACTTGAATAATTATGATGTTTGGAAGGGCACAACCAATAGAAAATCTAAGCTGGAAAGCAAACTAATGTTGTGAATACCTTTTCTTGTATTTAAATCCCTAAGGACTCATTTGTCTCTTCTCTTACTTAAGGGCAGTTTTGTAATTTGGACTTTTAATTAGAAAAAATTACCTCTGTACCACTTTATTTTATATTTTCTATGTTTTTGTTCAATTTTATGCAAAATTTACATGAAAGGGCATGCATATTAGCAATATCAGACCGGTTCTATATCTTCTTTTCTTTCCCCTTTTTCCAAACGGTTGGGCTCTCAGGTTCATTGGGAGAGCATATTTGAAAAAGTTCAATGTTCCAAATATCAAACAGCCCTAAATATGGTTCAATTGCCCGAACTGTGTCGAGGCAAGTACGTAATGTATCGGTTAGAGGTTTAGAATCTTGGACTGCTTGTTCTCGCACTAAGATAAGGAGCACAAGTGGTCCGAGGTTCAACACATTGGACAGCTTGCTATTGTTTCCAGGGCATATACCATGAACAAGTTAAGTTGCCCAAGATTTTCAACCTAGAACCACTTTTTGTTCCAAGTTATGTGAATGTTTTCAGTCCGATGTTTTTAAGTCTGGACCTTGTTCTACGTTAAATTTAAGGATAACAAGCAATCTGAAATTTGAAATATCAAACGACCTATATTAACAGTTGTACGAGGTTTGAAATATCGGACTGCCTACGCCCCCAACAAAATAAAAAAATAAAATGTCAATTTCCTAGTCCAATGTTGAGAGTTTCAAACATCGAGCCAAAGTAGGGAAAACAAAGGCCGTGAGGCATTTTTTTTCAGAAAAGGCACAAGTTCGATGTTGTAAATCTCGAACCGACATCCTTGCGAATAATATTCCTATAAAAGTGTATATGACAATATTTCCCGTTTTATATACGGTACAGACATAATTTTTCCCTTTCTATTATTAGTATAAAAGAACATAAGGGGGGTGTGGGGGCTAGTAGGACTAAACAATGACCTTCTCTCCTCTTCTTCTTCTTCACGACTCTCTCTCTCCCATACCTATTCTTCTTCTCTAACTTATTCTCTCTTTCCAGATCAAGGACTCTCTCTCTCCCATACCTATCTCCTTCTCTAACTTATTCTCTCTTTCCAGATCTTGATCTCTCTTATACTCTTTCATCTCTTACAAATTAGTTTGTTGTATTTTAACTTGGTATCAAAGCAGGACGCTTAGGGCTATTTGTTTGAAACCCTAATGATGTAACCTGGTTGTGAGGACGTGCATGTGAGTGTGTATTTTAACTTGGTATCAAAGCAGGAAGCTTAGGGCTATTTGTTTGAAACCCTAATGATGTAACCTGATTGTGAGGACGAGTGTGCGTGTGCGTGTGCGTGTACGTGTGCGTGTGCGTGTGCGTGACTAGATTTGGTTGGTATGGATCGAAATTCCTAGTCGGTGTGGATCGAAACCTTAGATCTGGAAAACCTAGATCTAGACACTAATGTTGGTCGAAACCCTATTATATAATTGGTGTGGATTGGAAACTCATATTTGAAAAATTGGTATGGTGCATCGAATCATAATTTCATGGTTATTTTCTATCCATGTCGAGTTTGTAATGTTGAGTTAAAAAACTAGAACTAGCATGGATGTTTTGGTGTTTCAAAAATGGTTGTTGGATTCTTATAACATATCACACCCCTGGTAGGATAGTAATGTCAATGGTATGTTCGAAAACGCGGGTGCCCAGACGCCTAATCGGATGAGTGAGCAAAATGCCTAGGCGGCATCTAGGCAGAGATCCTAGGCGGCTTGCGTCTAGGTGCCCGTCTAGGCGGTTTACTCAAGGCGGCCGCCTAGGCGCCACCTCGACACAACTTGCCGAGGGCGGAAAAATCGCCTAGGCCAAGGTCAATTTAGTAGTTTCCCCCCACCCCCAAAAAACAGAAGGGGGGGGGGGGGAAGGATTCTGGGGGGCATTCTAAACCCCCACAACCGAATTCACGGCCTCCAGAGAGCTAAAAATTCCCTAAAAACCTCGAATCTATGATTTATCAAAAGATCGATTTTTTTTTATTATTATTTCTTTTGAAATCAAAGGCAATAGTTCGTGGTAGTATTTGGAGCTTCGAGTGGTCGATTTTGAGGACTTTTGGAGACCCAACAGACGAGGTTTGGACTGACATCGTTTTGATTTTGATATTTTTAAAGTATTAACATATTTGAATAAGGGTTATGATTTTTTTTTGCTATAACGTATTATATTGTGAATCATTTGGTTTTTTTCTTTTACCTTTTTTTTTCCTTTTATGATATTTAATCACGAAAGGTTCCTACTAAGGAAAGTTGTCTTTCATATGTTAAAACAGAAGACCATCTAGAAGACATTCTTACTAAGGATGTTGGGAAACCTCAACTACAAATGATCTTAAGCAAGCTATGCATGACAGATACCTATACACCAGCTTAAGCAGAAGTGTTGTGAATAGATAAATCTATATTATTTCATCTGGTATTTAAGTCCCTAAGGACTAGTTTTTCTTTTCCCTTATTTAAGGGAAGCTTTGTACTTTAGGCTTTCTATCATTAGTACGAAAGAATATAAGTGGGGTGTGGGGGTCAATAGGACTGAACCATGACGCTTCTGTCTTGTTTTTCACGTGACTCTCTCACCTATCTATCTCTAACTGTCTCTATCTTTCTAGACTTAATCTCTCTTATACACTTTTATCTCTTACATATTAGTTGTATTTTAACTACTAACAATCTACAATCTACAATCTCCAATATCATAACAGGCAGTGCTACAACAATTTACAAAGGCACAAACTAAATTGCATTCCTTTTACAATGTTATATCCCTGTTCCTATGCCTATAAACAAGTCCTACAGCTATATTAGCTCAAGTCATCTCAATTAATATTAGAGATAGAAACCCAACATAATGAGGCAGATAATCATTCTTCAAAGACAAGGAAAAAAACGGATGGCCACCGTAAGCTAAATGTAAGGACATCATCTCTTAACATCAACTAGCAAAAGTATCCAAAACTCCTAAATGCCATGACACAAATTTTCTAAGTGCTTCGTTATCAATTGACTTATAGCTAATGCCAAATGGTTGGACCTCACACACAACGCAAGGGAGAAGAAAAAGCATATTCTTAGTACTTATAACCCATGAGCATAAGAGATGTATATTTGCTTGAAAGTCAAAAAAAATCCAGATACTAATATTTGCAATATTCATCGGATATAAAAAAAATAACATTGTACATAATAAGTCCTTACAGTTGAAGGATAATTCTCTACAAAGTGCATCCTCTTCACCACTTCCATCGATGCACAACAGGTCTTATTAACTTTCAGGAATATATTTTTGGGATTTTTCAAGGGTTATCATTAGGGCTTGCTTTAAAGTTGTTTAATGATTTTAGGGTTTTCTAGGCCTTTTCTAGGATTTTAGGGGCTGCATGGAAAAGTAGTTAAGAGTGCTTATTTGTCTATCAAGGTTAAAAATGTTATTGCAAATTTTATTTTAATTAGGACTATTATTTCTAGAATTAGGATTTCTTGAGTTCTAAGTAGGGACTTTTTATTATAAATAGGGCTGATGATTAGAATGTTGATAAAGATCGGAGAGGGATGTTAGCTCCATACAAGCTAGTGCAACTGATTTCTTTGCAGGCTCAAGAGATAAGGATTTTGGTCGTGAGGAATACAGCGACAAAGCAGCAGGAAAGCCTAATTAAAATCAAGGCCATTAAAGATCTCAAGGATATTGCATAGAGCAATCAAGAGATTTAGGGCATTGGAATTAGAGTGGTGCAAGCGAAGTGTAGTCAAACTCGCAAACTACAAATCTTGGCCTGGATCTAGAAAGTAATGAATAGATGTGGACAAATGTGGAGAAACCTAATTCTCCAAGTTGGGAAGCAGTTAAGAGTGCTAGTTCTTTATCCTTTTTCTTTTTCTTTTTTTTAGTTAAGGATTGCGAGGCAGTTTTGGAGAAATAAATGGAGTGCTTATGGAATTATATGTTTTATCGGGGGCCAGTGTTCAAAAAAAGAGACCGCCCAACGCCTAGGCAGTCCAGAAGGCCTGGGTGTATCGCCCAAGCCTACGCGGCCAAACTGGACGGTGGTCCCTGGGCGACCGCCTAGGCGTACGGAACCCGCCCAGCCCTGGGTGGCTGCCCAGGGCCTGTGCCCGGCCTAGAGGCGAACCCTTTTTCTTTCTTTTTTTTTTTTTAAGATATAAAAGGTTAAAAGGAGGAGTTTTAGGTTCATTTGAAACCTAAACCCTAAACCCACAAGAACCCCTTTTAGAGAGAAAGAAACCTCCAGAAAACTATATTTCATTGGATCAAAGTGTTTCTCAAAGTTTGGAATTTGAGCAATCAAAGTAAGTGCAAAACATTATGTTTTAGATTGCTTGTTTTATTTTGGGATGTCTTCTTTAGAAGTAAGTCGGAGTGAAGATCCAGGTTGAAAATATGGATACAACTCGAATCCAAATGAAAAGATACAAAAGGAGGCATAAACCGGTTTAAGAAACATCTTGTCGGTATTAAGGGGGATATTGCCCCTTGTAAAAATGTTCTTGAAGCTATCAGAGAGGAGATCAAGCAATATATAAGTTATGTAAAACAAAAACAATAACAAAATCCTTGTCATAGATCTATTTCTGCTACTTCTAGAAGAAGTGATCCGGGTTGGAAGTATGGGTACAACCCAAAACCAAATGATAAAAATTGTATAAGGTGTAATTTTTTTAAAAAATATACCAATGGGGGTATTAGCCGATTCAAAAAATGCATTGCTGGTGTTAGAGGTAATGTTGCTTCTTGTACAAAGGTTCCTGAAGCAGTTCGAGATGAGATTAAGCATCTTCTGATTTAGATGAACCAGAAAATGATGAAAATAAGCCTTGTTCTATGGAAGTATCTTCTACGGGTTCTAGTCGAAGTGGTGATCCGGGTTGGAAGTATGGCTATCACCCGAATCCAAATGATAAAAATCGTATTAAATGTAATTATTGTGGAAATGATACTAATGGGGGCATTTATCGGTTTAATAAATACCTTGCCGGTATTAAGGGGGATGTTGACCCGTGTAAAAATGATCCTGAGGCTACCGGGGAGGAAATTATACAATATTTGAGTTCAGAGAAGCACAAAGAAAAGGGTTGAGCAGCCAAGACTCCTAGGGCCTCATCTGCAAATGCTGCACATATTGTTAAGAAGAAGGTATAAGAAGAGGAGGAAGAGCGTTATATTGAAGAGGACGAGCGTTATATTGAAGAGCGTTATATTGAAGAGGGAGATGACTCTGATGAAGATGGCCTTGACTCTGATGCATATGATGAGGCTTGCCCTATTGATATTTTTTTTTATGATGATGATCACGACTGAAAACTCTTGCCTCTTGGTGCTGAGTGAGTGTTGACCGTTGTGTTGAGTCATGAGTGTTGACCTTTGTTAGACTGCATATTTTCTAAATTTCTGTATATTTTTGTTGTGTTGAGTGTTGACTTTTATATCCTACACTTGTATGGTTACAGTTTATTGCTTTAACAATATGGTTTATCAAAATTCACTTCTCGACGTCTATCCTTTTTTCTTTTCAACTTAGAATATGGTATATTGGTATGTTTTTTTCAACTGGGCAGGCACCCAGAAGTTCTGAGCGCCCACCTAGGCGCTGGGCGACTTGGACCCCCTAGGCCGCCTAGGACCCGCCTAGCGCTTTTTAATACACTGTCAAGGACAAAGTGTCATTACAAATTTTAATTTAATTAGGACTTCTAGTTCAATTAGAATCAAGATTTCTTATGTTCTAAGTAAGGTATTTTATTATAAATAGGGATTTTCATTCAAAGTTGAGTTTTGAGATCTTATTCTTGGTTTAACCAATGCAAAGCTATTAAAGTCTAGCTTGCAAGCTTCCTTCTTTTATTTTCTATCAATAGATCGTATGAGTTTCTTCCATGCAAAATTTCTTTCTGCAATATCCATTTATCTAAGTGACCAATCAAAAAGGTGTATCAAATAAAATAAAATCAAAAGAGTACATAGGATTCTTCTACTAGGGCTCATCTATATTTCATGAAGGAAAATGATTGATAAAAAGAAGGATATGTTCTACAACCAACTTTGCTCAATAATGACATGCAAGTGACCTGCACGTATGTTATCTGAAGTCAGGCAATAAAGAAACATAATGGAATCAACTTAAGCCCTTTGTTGGAACCCATTTATTCTACTAACATTAATGAAGTGTTTATAAAATCATAAGTAGAATAGTTGCTCAAAGTTAAAACAGAAAATAAAAGCTCACGAGCGCCATCACATATGCCAACCCCAATTAGTAGGGAAAAGGCTATGATGATGAAGCAATTTCACCGATCTAACATACTCACAATCATATCAAAAAAAAACCTCATAAGCTTTCTTACCTCTCGATCGAGCAAGATAAGTGTATTTATTTCTGGGACGCCGACCTAAAGTTTCATGGAAATGAAGTGAGCATAACAATTCTTTTTAGGTAAAAGCATGTCCATTTACTTGACTAAATCACAAAGGGTATCAAAGCCAAGGATAAAGAAAAATTCCAAGAAGAATTACATCTGAGCCAACTGCATTCTCCCGATGCATGCGATTCAGAATGTCCACAACTTTTGTTGAAGCTTTGCCTTTCGCTCTCACATTGGGAATCAATCCGAACGAAAACTGTACCAATATGAAATGAGTAAAAACAATCAAAAGTTAGTAAACTTAGGCAATCAATTCGTAGTAAACTTAGGCAATCACTTCGTGAACTTGGAAACAATATTGCATCCATGGAAGATAGGAATCTGAGGGCAAAATAGGTAAATAAAATTGTCTTGAAGCATATCTCTTGCTACTTCGCTTCTCTTGGTCACTAACAACTCTTTATACAAAAAGTTCTTGCTCGGACTGAAAAGAAAAGTATAGAACAATTGATCGCAACAGCTCATTCATCCAGAACAAAACAAGGGAAAGAAGAGATCTCTCAAAAAAACCATTTGCTCCACTTGCTCGATATTAACAATGTTATATAATTATTAAAAAAAGGGTGAACCTAGTTCAAAATGTATAAGATCAATCCAACAATCAGTGCACTTCAAATTTAACTATTCACCTCAAAATCTCATTTGAACAAGCAATCGAATTCATCTGTCTCTTTGCCAACGCTCTTAACTGTTTCTTTGCTTTTACGTTTAGCAATTAGGCTTTTCTCCATGTAACCAGTAAAAAAATTAAAAATTTCCGAATCGTTGACTATTTATAATGATGAAAGCAACCAATATGAAAGAATCTGTTTCGAGTCCATGCTAACTAAACAATTCCCCATGAGTCGATAATTGAGACATCGACCATTCCCACAAAGACAATTTTTTTGATGATGAAGTTAACTTGTACTAAAATGGTAAAAGATTACATGATAAGAGTGGTCCGATGTCACCCACAGACAAATTTTAATAGTTTTTTGCAAGATTTCTGGTTCTCTACATTGTTTTTGTATGTTCACTTTTATATTTTTTATTTTCTTCATTTCCAAATATTTCCAAGTTTTTTAATTTCCTTTATGCTTAATATTCTCTACACATTTCAAAGAATTTGCTTATTCAAAATTGGGTGTAGATGAGAGCCCATAAATGTAAGTGACATTACAATAACGAAACAGAGTCAATCATGGTTTTGTCGACCAGACCAGACTGCCCGGTTCAACCAGTTGGACCAAGAACAAAAGCTTAAACCATTCCAGTGGATAGAAAACAAAAGAACAGAAAAGGTTTTTCTATGGTTAAAATAGTTCAAATACCTACATTTAGAATAGGGTGCAAACTGCTAAATTACATTTGGTACTCCTTATAATCATGCATATAAAATGAGTACAAGCGTTTTTGTCATTTAAAAGCGTATGGTTGATATCTTAGTACAAGACAATGGTAGTTCTGGATTGATACTCTAAGTACATTATTAATATAAATGAAAATTTAAAAGCATCCTCTCGTTCAGCAAAATATCAACTATATCCTTTTGAATGTCAGAATTGAGCTCAATCATTTTATCGGCATGGCATAAAGGAAGGAGCAACTGAAGTAATTTAATGTTTCACATCCCATTCAAAATATAACCTAGGCTTTGAACCATGTTAACCATAGAATAACCCAAAAAGGGAAAAAAAAAGTTTAAAAGAAAAACCATTTGAGCGAAACAGTTCAATAATTGAATTGTCCAATTCAACGTAAAACCGTCTGGTTCCAGCAACATATTAGAGAAAAGTTATTTCCAAATTAGTCTTTTAAAGAAGAAAATCATGAAAGATGCTTTTTAACATATTGGACCTACATTGTTTTTGCCTTATGGTTTAGGCTCTAAAATTTCGAGATGGCTTTTGAGAGTGACAAAAGACAAATTTACCCTCCCTTTACATTCTTTTTATAACCTTAGTCTTCCACCAATGCTCTCATGCTCTGTTTTCAACAGACCCAACACCTCTCCTCTCTCTTGGGAAGGATACATTCTTATGGCTCGATTTCTTCAAATGAGAGGTATTGGTGCTCTGTTGTGCGTGTGAGGCCTTACATGCTTCCCCTGCATCACCAACATAACAAGCAAACACAGTTGTTTCACTCTCCTCAATTACTCCAAACAACATCATCTTTTGACCTCCCAAAACCTGCTTTAATTTCTGTACAGTCACTTTCTCTCTCTAAAACCAACACTCTCGAATCCCATAAAACCAATAGTTGTTTCCATCTCCTCCCTCCAACCACCATCATCTTTAGATCCCAAACCCTGCATCTCTCCCTTGATCCCTGGAAACTCTATTTCTCTCTCTAAAACCAACAGTCTTGGATCCCATAAAACAAATTTCTCTACAAAAGGAAAATTGTTGCTTTTGTTTGAAGGGGCATTTTGCAGTTGCCAAGAAGACCGAGCGCAAGATATTCTCCATGTTCACACTGCAAACGAACTCATCTCCCTCCATAATCTTTGCTTTCTCAGTGGTGAAGCTCCTATCAGCCAACTCCAATGTGCCGGAAATATCACCAGAACAAAAAAAAATGATTCTAGTTAGTTCAACGCCCCCAACAAAATTTAACCGTGACAAGGAAACTCACTTTCGATTATGATGCCACGCCTCTTTCCTCCTCTTTATATGTCTTTGTTCATTCACTCTCTCTCTCTCTCTCTCTCTATCT